CATCAGGAAACCAGTGGATGGCCGAGCACCTATACATTAGTGAGTCTGGAGTACCGTAAACATGCTGCGAAACTTTGTAATTGTCGCTGTGTTACGGACCTTATGGTTATTTGTTTCTAGCGCTGCTGACTATGGGCAGAAGGAAGTTATCGAGTACCTGATATCAAAGGGAGCTGACGTTAACGTGAGTGATTCCTGAATATGTTGTATAGCAGGTCACGGGAATTTAGTTCGAGGTAGCAAATGGAAAAAATTTGTTATAGGCTGTTGACAAGCACGGAATAAGCGCTCTCCTTGCAGCGATATGGGAGGGACATACAGACTGTGTTAGATTACTGCTGCAAAAGGTTCGTATTGTAGTGAGCGAATGCGAAAAACTTCAAAAGATATAAAAAATCGGTATCGCAGAGAGTTGCATGCTGTTCTCTGAGCGCACTTATTATTATGTGTGAAAAGATTTCGTTATAGGGTGCGTCGAAAGACGGAAAGTCGCCTGATGGTACGTCGTACTTGGACTGCGCGGAAAAGACCGAAATAAAATCCCTTCTCCGGAATTGACTTCCTGCCTAATTTTCAGGTCAGTGTAGCAAGTTCGTTCCGCAAAAACCGATTTTTCTACTGATACATTGTCAAAGTATTAATCTTTGTAAATGCATCTTTGAATTCTACTTCTCTTTAAATGTTCCCACCGAGTGCGGGATTGGCCCATTTTTTGCTCGTTATGTTGTTTGGTCTCTGGAACTGTAGACTTGAGTTTCGTAGTTTCTTTTGTGCTTTGCCGACCTCGAAAGTTCACATGAAATTTGGCGATATCTCTTCATGGAAGCTCACTTGAAAGCTCCTGGCCATATCAGAGAGATGATCCATCTGTGTACTAGAACACGGCAGATATCAGGTACATTATGTTGCTCCGGTTAATACTACGTCTCACGAAATGGCGACCCGCAAAATCTTTCAGGCAAAGTTGATTACATTGTAAACAATGCTGCAATATGCAAAACACTCTGTGTATTTTGACTGTCGAAATGTTAGCGACTCCTGCATTGTGGCCGGTTACAAAATTATGTTTTCTTTCCATTGTCAAAATCAGTTTCAAATATTTCAGTCGGAAACGTAGGCTTTCCGTAGATGAAAAACGGAGTGAAACTTGATCAACCTTTAGAATGGAGTAGAATAACCTTACTTCGATTCTTTGTGGAATTATGGTGCAGTTATTGTGGAACGATGTGGCGCGGTTTGTGGAGAGTTTTGTCACAGGGATGCTTCTTGCTGTACGGTCTAGCTATATCACGAACCCAAACGCCACAGGCGCCACTTTCAATGAGGGGGAAGTATTGCTACCTGCTCCTATCTATACCGCGGTGCCTCCAACTAACGGGTTCGTGGCGAGTGACCCAGACGCTTCAACGGCGAATCCTGCAGCTTGGACACAAGGATACCTAACTGATCACGCTGACGTTGCGGATACTGTTGATGGTTCGCAGTCTTCGTTCGTGACAATAGGACAAGACACACCGGAGACTTCCCACGTAAGTAAAGATCACTCGTATGTGGGCACATTATTTCAACCAGAAGTGGCGCACGCTGCCAGCCAATATCAATGGAAACGTGCGCTACTTGGGGTAACGATCTGGTTCAACTCATTTGCCCACGAGTTCTTGCAAAGTCGCAAAACCCGAAATTCCATGACGTCTGCTCTGATTGTCGGTTACGATTTCCGTAGGGCGTGTCCGATTCCTCATCAAGAACAGACATGACTGCTGATCCGCACGGAATATCAACCGCGCCCGCATCGCATGGTTCGAGCAACGCCACCGATGTGGTAACTCTTCAAGATCTGCAAACCGTGCTGATGTTATTGCAGAACGTACTGAACCGTCAAGCCTCAACCATCACGAACATCATGTCCATGGTCAATCAGACAAATACCCGTCAAACTGACAGCATGCCGGCTGCTGGTTCGAATTCTGACCAGACATGGACACTCCCGGTTCTTGGCGCTCCACCAGCAGACTCATCAAGTTGGCAGTCTCATTCACAACCCTCCCAAAACCCACATCTCGGAACTGGGACCGTTGGCGCAGGAGCTAGCTACAGTGCAATCTCTGCGCCGCCGCTGGCTGCACCTCCCTCCTCCTGGTGGCAAATTCCTGTTTCGCCAGCATTGAACGTGAACACTAGGCCCAACAGCCAGCCTAGTTCTATTCCGAACGCGCCTAGTTCAGCCGGTCTTCGGCCATCTCCTAATGGTTTTCTGGCACCTGCCGTGATCACTACCACCAACAAATTTCCACGAGGACCATCCTTCCAAGCCACTTCCGGAACGATATTCAGCCCGAACGGAGAAGTCGCGGCCTTTCCAAGCCTAGGATCCAACAGTTACACGTTAGGTTCGACGAGCTTAAATTCCTGGACCAACAGCAATACAAGTGGTTTTTCCGGGACAAGTTCTCCTGACTCAACGAACGATGGTAAGCACGAACAGCTTTTCCTGAACAAGGGTCAGCGTAAATAAGACGTGCGATTTTTGCAGTCGTTACAGACTTTGGGGCTCTTCAGCAAGCCGGACGTTGCGGGATACCCGTCGATGCAGCAGGAGTTCAGCTGCGCCTGCAAGAAGTACGATCCAGGAATATCACTGAAAGAAATGCAGTGTAATCACTGACCCGTATTTTCTTGCTGTGTAGTTTATGGGAGGATGGTACGAATATTTGTACCGGACACCCGGCTTCAGCCCAGCCTACAACGTCTACAACAACTACAGCGCTCTCGGATACATATATCGTCGTGACGCCTACAGCTGGATGCTGGCTGCAACTTCGAATGTCTTTATGTACCTGGAATCTCCCCAGAGCAATGGGCAGCTACAATGCATTGGAATGTTTGAGCAGACTAACTTCACCAGCGACGGCCAAAAGGTTGCGTTGTCCTTCTACCAAAATAACCCGCCAGGTAATATCAGCAATAAACCAAGGCTGTTTTCGCGGTTCGTGGACCAGTTTGATCATGCTTTCCAGTAAACTTCAGCTACGCGATTTTGTCGACGGACTACTCCAACATGGGTCTACTGTACCGCTGTAACAGACCAAACACGACGACTCAGCTTTGTGACGACCCCTTTTTTTGGGTCAACACGAGGGTCGACCCGCGGACCTTATCCGCGTCCTCCAGGACCTACATACAAAGCTTAGTCGACAACGCCCTGCAACCCTACTGTTATTCCTCAAGGGACATGGTTCTCACCAACTGGACAAACGTTCCTGCGTGCGCACCTCCAGCTCCTCCGCAGTTCACCTCGTTTGTACAAAATTTACAGTCAACATCAGCCTTAAGTGCCATGAAAACTCGCGATTATAGAAGAATACAGTTTTCTTGAACCTCACAGTTCGCTGATTATCTAAAGTTTGTATTTCTTGCGATCTCGGTGGTGGTTACTCCGACAAACTCCGTTTAGGCAACAGTTATAAAGTGAGAGTGAGATCAACTGTATATATATCAAGCTCCAGATGAGTGTGGCCGACCCTGCGTTCCTGTGGTCTCGCGGCATGCACGCACTTCGGACGCTCGGCACTGCTGGGACGAGCGCATCTCGCGCATTCCATAGCACTTTACCATTGTGTTGAAAGCTCACGTTCTCCTTGGCGACCTAGTTCGCGTATTTTATTCGTGGCGGCTTGAAGCTACGCGCTGTTCGTACTCGACAGGGCCGCTTCTGTTACGTATACTGTAGTCACTTCCGGTCAACCATCCATTCCTAGCCGTCGAGGATTTTCCCCCAGTCTGAGCACGCTTTGCTGATCAGATCACGCGAAGTTTAACATGAATATTTGTCAGATTTTTTATATGCGAGAACTACCGGAGCTTGTATCGCAAATCTTCTGGATGATAGTTCACTTTTCAGTCATGAGCATATTCTTCTTCGATGCAGTGATCGCCCAGTCCGCAACGACGCTGATACCACCGGAAAATCTGCTGGAGCTTCTTGCCATCAACAGCGCTATCCATGCCGTAAAACAGTCCCGGACTACCACCACTACTGAAATACCTCCCTCTACTGTAAGGCCGGGTGTTTTGAGCGGAGTACCCATTCCGACCCTCTGGCCTGTTTTACCGGAAAGTTCTTCCCAATCGTGGAACTCAAATAAGAAACAACTGCAGCCAACTACAACAGCATCGAGCCTCCTGGGATATCAGCCCTACGTTGAAGATTATGCGATGTACCACAATAATATCGTGATCAGTCCTTCACGACTTCAAGTTCAACCCTTTCGTTACTACGTCGCAAATTCGGGTCCAGCTCCCGGAAGGCAACTATATGACGTTGTTCAGCAGCCACAGCAGAGTTCTTTACCACAAGCTGGCCTTGGACAAGCTACACTTCATGCTAATGGACAACGTCAGGAACTTTTCACGTATTCTCCTTATTCAATTAATATCGGTTCGATAGGGCAAACTCAGCCTTCACTTCTCCAATACCTAATTAGTTCAGCAAACAGTAACGCACAACCAGGAAGTGTTTCTACGAACGAAGTACCACAAGGAACGTCCTACTTCCTGCCGCAGGTATCAGCTCAGAATCCTCCTCGGTCCTCGACAGGACTTGGAGGTCAGCAAGTCCAACAGATTAACAACCAAGTGCCTTCAGGACTTGCGCAAACGCTGAGTCAAGCCAATATTTACAGTTTGGTGCCGCCGGAAACTTATTCCAGCCAGCCAGGAACCGGGGGTAATTCAGTTTCGAACTCAAGATGGAACGAAAATCTCGGGCCCGTTTCCAACCCCGACGAAGGAAAATCTGGGATTTATGGATATGGCGGGCAGCCGGGATATGCAGCCATTCCGTACAACTTTTATGTATCTAAAGACATATCGAATAATATTCAGAATTTCGTGGACTCTTCTAACCTTCCTTATCCTGGTTGTCATAAATAAAAACTGCTCGCGTGGCGTTTGTCTTGACTCTTGAATCGAACAAAATGTAAAATCAAAATTGTAAAAACTGCGACACCCGGGAGTCGAACCCGGATCACCTGCTTGGAAGGCAGGCATACTACCGCTGTACTAGCGTCGCTATCGAATGTTATTGCTTTGTTTTATCGTGGAGATGACAAGAGTAGTTTTGCCACCATTGTACCTATCCGAAGGCAGACTGGGAAGTGCGAACTGCATGGTCCTCTGAAAGGGAAACCCCTGATCTTCGCCAACCAAGTCCAGTCAGCAATCTGCGAATTTTTTAATGTGTCCGTTGATCGATACGGAAAAACATACTGTTGTTCTGAATGAAAGGTTGTAAGAACAGAGCACTTTACCGTCTTCAGGAGCCTCGTACGTGACATCTCGACACTGACAAACTCGTATAGTAACGCCCTGTCACACAAGAAAGCACAAGCACAACAAAAAGAAAACAATACAGTTTACAAAGGGATGAATCGCAACACATGGGATGACTGCTTTTCCACTTGAGATATCTTGAACTGCAGGCGAAGAAGCCACTTTTGTAACGGTTCACGGGACTTCTTGTAGTCACGCGATGTCATCATACTCGGAGCCGTTGGAATAACTGTTGAGGCCTGCACGGTCTCCAACGCGCGGAACCGCATCTTCACTGCCAGTGGAAGCTAGATTACACCAAAGGAGTTTTGAGTAGAGTCCGGTGAGAAAGTGTTGGACAAGGAACAACTACTAACCTGGGATTCGGGAGGAAGGAGTACCCCAACCCACATGGGGAGAAACTTGTTGAGCAGCGGCGAATTACATTCCTTTAGGTGCTCCATCATTGCCAAGAAATTGATGCCGACAATTTCTGACAACTAAAATGCACCCACCGAACTGTAAGCAAGTTCTCGAGAGGCTCTGAGGGTGCTTACGTTCTTGGAATGAGACACGAGCTGTAAGACGGCAGGCGTAACTTTCAGCCAGAAACTCAGCAAAGCGCTCTCGGCGGTCGACGCATCCTCCGAAGCTTCGGACATCTCGGTGGGATAAAGAGCGGCAGAGAGCTCGCAGTAGACTGTCCATAACTGACAGAGAGTAAACGCGTACGATAGGGAACACATGCGTTCCAGTGTATGTTGGGAAGACTGTGGGAGAGAAAAAAATATTACCAATTTCGTTTATTAAATAAATTCCCTCCAGGGGAGAAATACCTGAGTTTGTTCGGCAAAACAACCAAGAACCAATAATATGCGATCGGCCACGAATGAGTATATGGTGAATGGGAACAACTGGAACAGGACGATGTCGTCGTCGGTCGCTGCAGGTGGTGGAATGGAAAGCATTGTTTTGAGAGCGCCGAGGAGGAGCCAGGATAAGAGGCGGATATGGACAATGCAATCGTCGAACTCCCGAATCCTAACGGACATGGCGATATCGGATCAAATTTCACTGCGATGAGGGTGGAAATATCCAAAACTGGCTTACCCTTGTACTCCAGCGCTCTGGCTGAGGAGCCACGGCAGATATCGCTGCAGCGCCATTGGGTCCCGGTAGAGTTCCCTGACCAGTTCAAACGCCGCGAACTGAGCGAGTCCGGCCTTTATTCCGCCCCCCAGTGTATCGTCATTAAACATGAAACCAGGGTTAGCGTCCATCTACAGAAAACCAGGAAAGTTACAACACGCCATCCCGTCTCTCGTGACTTTATATACGATCGACCTACTCGGAGGTTGTTGATCCCATGAATGTCTTTGAGAAAGTCGAGAACTTCCACGAGTGTTTCGCGGATACACTGGCTAATTTGTAGCTCAGGCTATAACACAAGGAACGTAATCTTCATTTGAAGGTCAGGCTGAGGTTTTCGTCTCACCTTTTTGCTTGTCTGGAAAACGTTATCAAAGTCGTGTGGCGAGAAGTGCAAATCGCCTTCGGTCGGTTCCTGGATAGCGGACTGCACGAGTGTGACCAAATTCAGTTCGGGTATGGGCTTCCGCAGCTTTATGGCATCCATCAAGGTCTCCGCCACCGCTCGAGCCATCTGCAGTCTCTCACGCTCCTAAAATCACATGTAGACCAAGGTATAAATTGTATGATAATGAATTGTACCGAATAATTAAGTTTGTTCGTACTTGAAAGCTTGATGCTTACCCGGATATGTGACTTGTAGCAAAGATTGCACATGTCCCGAATATCGGTCAAGCTCGGCGCACCGGATCGCAAAATCTGCCTGAATATCTTGTTCACGGGTTCCATGATGCTCTGAAGGAAAATAAAATGTGTTATGCTATAAGCAGATAAGACATATCGAAAAAATACGACATTTCATAATGTACTTTGTTTAGATGAAGTCCCGGAACGCGCATGATGTACTGGAGGAGTTTCGTCAGAACGCGCAGACAGCTAGTATAGTTCTCCGGTATGCGTCGGAGGAACTTATCGAAGTGCTCGAGAATCGGGCCCCAGCCAGACAACGGGACATCTAGCGGGAGGAACTCCATATAGACGCAAATGTTCGCCACGATGACGGATAGCGAATATTGAGAAGGGAACTTGATCTTCTCAGAGTGACATCGCTCGAGACAATGTTGTAGAGGTACCAGGGAATTGAACTCCTCGCAGTCGGCCAAGGAAGAAGCAACGATCTCCAGCAGCATGCAGCCGGGCAACTTTGAGAGGAACAAGACTGGAAAGAGCCGGCTGGGACCTAGCTGCATAGCCAACACTCTGACAAACTGCCGAATTGTCGTCATCAAGTTACCCGGGATAAAAATATTCTGGCTACAAACAGAAAAAGGTAGAGCTATAACAGAAATTTGACTAGGTGAGATTCCATCCACCAAAATGGTTAAAATAATAACGTTAATTACCTAAAGTTCTGCCATGAATATCGCAGGCAGGTGGCAGCACTGCAAATAATAACAGCAACGATTAGCGTAAATAGATTACATCGTTTCGGTCTCGCAATACAACGCCATCACTTTAAAATTACCACACGGCCGCGTCCAGAATATCCAACAGCAAGGGCGTGGCCAGACCAGGGTGTCGTCTGATCAGCGCTTCAAGACAAAGGATTGCCCAGCTAACATCGTCCTCTTTTAGTGTATGCATGGTTTCGCCACACATCGGACACCTCTGGTTGAAAAACGTATTGTGGGATGGCAGCGGCGGTATCGTGACAAAGCGTTCTGGTTCTTCGTGGTCAGTCGTGCTTTTAGACGGGGTCGCAGCAAAAATGTGGTTCAGGCCGCTCAATGCATCTCGGCGACGAGGGGTCAGAGGTTCCGCCGGTGGGAGCGCATCAGAATCATCAGCTTCTTCGCTAAGAATGGCCGACAGCGGTCGGCGGAACTTGAACCTGTCTTCCTTCGTTAGCGGTGTACAAATAAGTTTCCTGGGTCGAGTGACTGGGTAGGATCGACTTTGATAGGTCTTCGCTATGTGTTTAGCTAGATCGGGAAGAGGATCCTTGGCTTTCACAACTTTGGCTTCTCCCACCTTTATGCCAGCTTCGTCTTCTATAAGTGCGGCGGACCCAGGTGGATGCTTGGCAGAGTCGGTGATGTGGGGTTCTTTGGGAGTCATTTCTTTCGCTGTAAGCCGAAACAATGATGTTTCATGCTGTAGCTGAAGCCATACGGAAACTCGGCAAACAAATTCGTCCATATTGTCTTCCTGAGTGACGTACGTTTACAGTGACATTATCCGCAAGCGTGCGCCAATACCGAAACGATCAGTTCGAGTTTGTTTTCCGAGTTCCCATATAACAATATTCAGGCCAAATCAGACATAATGTCAGAGACCATTGTATAATGGTATTGCTTCTTCAGATACAAATTTCTTACCAGGTCTTGCGGCTTCCTCGGGTCCATTAGCCGGTTCAGCAGTGTAGTTGCTTCCTAGCGGCGACTTGTACAGCGGTCCGATGTGTTTAGTGACGTAAGTTGCTGTTGAGGTCTTCGTCCACTTCTTGGCGGTCTGAATCTGCACGACATCGTTCTCCAGGATAGTGACGGTTGTCTTCGTCTCCACAGAATTTCCATCAGGATCGACATCTTGGGTGGACGCCACTAGTTTTTGTGTGTCCTTGAACTTTGATCTGGACTGTGACGTTTGTTCTATGTGGTCACTCTGGATTTTGGAGTAGGGCTCGTTAGGGTCCCTCGGGGTTTCATCAGTACCAACTGCTCGTTGGGGACCATGCTGAACAATCTGCCGGTAGACCACATCGGGAGGTGGCGCATTCTTGACAGCTTCACTCAGCTTATCCATTAGATCGGTAGCTAACAAACAACTTTTTGATAAGTTATAGTTTGAAATATGGTTAGAAGCTAGATATTCATGGTCGACGGGCTGATGACCCAAGATGGACAGACAGTGTGCGGCCACTTTTTGTTCACCTGCGTACATCAAGCCGCATATTTAGAACGGCGCTTGTGTATGCAGGCCCTTAAAATTTATTTCACAATTTGGAGTCTGGGCAAAGTTCCTCAGAAGTCTGGGGTCACGGCGTGGAGGCATAGTCGAGGTCTGACTCAAGGAAATCTAGGCAGGGGGTAGGGTAGCCCAAGGGTGGGGTCGGGGCTTGCCATGTGGAGCCCGAGAATTTTGAAGAAAAACCCGAAACCTTCCCTTGCCCTTCTCAAATTTCATCAGCTGTGCCTCTACGCTATGACCCCACCTTCTGAGGAACCTTGCCCACAGCCAATTTGTTCCAAAGGACCTTACCAGCTGTCAAGTCAGGAAGGTCCTTCGAGCCGCCCGGTGTGAAGGGTGTCTTCGCACCCGACTGCGAGGTTGCGGTCTTTGAGCCGCTTTCGTTGGAATAAGAAGAGTCCTGACTATCGAAGCTCAATGGATGACGTCGTGATGGAGTAGGGTGGCCCTGAGAGGATTCGCCGCTAGGTTCGCTAATCAATGGTACGGTACCCATATTGAATGGACGTGATGTGACGCGATCTTTAGGTGTGGCCTCTTCGGATCCAGACTTTGTGTCCTCGGGTACCGACCTCCAGACCGACTCGCGACCATCCATTTCCGAGATGAAGGAGCTCTTTTTACTGAGATGACCCAACGAATGAACAGTTTCATAACTGCAAGTGTGACCGAGAGACCGAACACTGTTTATGCAGAGGTGAA